TAGACCTCAACCAAAAGTGAGGTCAACAGTGCCCCTCCACCATTTCATCTCAATAGATTTTCTGAACTCTTGAATGTTTTCTGGATATTATGCACCGTGGTCTTTAGCTGGAATTGCTTCCATCTAGTTATGGGTTTTTACCTGAATGTAGTGTGCTTCTATGTTGTTCTTTAGGAAGATTGGGTTGTGTTGTTTCATTCAAATCCCATGTTATAATTTGGTTCTTTTTGGGCAACCCTTATTTTGTTCTTTTGCTTGTTTACAGGTTGCTTACTTGCTGCTCTTTTGGAAGCTTGGCTGGTGTTGTTTCATTCAGCTGTCATATTACTGTTTAGGTCATATTGAATGGCTAGGGTTTTTCCTTAACAAAGCTCCTATTGGTTTTCTCTGCTCTAGTGGCTACCCCTGTGCTAGTTTCTTTTGCTCTATACCATTGGATGGTTTTCTTTCCTTTGGTTATATAAGAAGGATTTTTCTTACTGATCCTAATCTCTCTTATAGAGCTATGTTTTCTTTGTGCAGAAAGCTGATATTTGATAAGAATTGGCTTCTCAATTTGTATCCTTCTGTTGGTATCTCATTTACTTCTTAAGTCAATTGCTATTTCTTTGTAGTCAATCTAAATCTTGCTTCATTTATTGATGTTCTATCTGACTATGCTGACTGTTATTTGGTTAGTTTGATACTTCCTTCTTGCAGCTCTCATATCTTCTCTCCATGACAAACTGGAGCTGGATTGGGTATAATTTTTTAAGATTTCTTCTCTTTTTGGATATACCTGTGTTCTTTTTTGAGATTATTTTTATCTGAGTTGTATAGCATGTGGGAGGGACCTTAGGGGTACCTTAATTGTATTTTTTTTCACATTTTTAGTGGGTTCTTCCCACCTGAAACCTGTACTTTTAAAATTTGAGAAATAAATTGTCATATATATACATATATATTAAAAAGGATTGACCGGAGGCTATTATACAAGCTCCCAGCCACCACTAATGTGCACAACAACTTGAGTACTACCTCTTTAAGGCCAATTGTTCGAGAGTGGATTCAAACCCCAGACCTGAGGGGTATTAAACTGTGGATGCCAACCATATATATGTATATGCATATATTTTTGGGGGGGGGGAAGGAGCGTTATACGACTCCATATGCATTACTAACAAAAATGTGGTTACAGAGGGGTGTGGAGGTGAATCCCCACCAAAGGAAAAAAAATATAATACTCATGCGAAGAGGGGTTCCACCTCTAGCAGTAAAATTCGACAAAAAAAATCTCCTACAAGAAATACAAGTATACCCTGTAGATACAAAAAATCAAAAGAAAAACATAAAAAATGTAATTTGTATGATATGTAGAATAATCCTCTAGCCAGCATAGGAGAGATGAAAAAGAGACTGCATCAAATATTCAGCATAGCGTGCGGAATCAGTCTGGTGCAACCTCCAAAAAAGTTGCACGAAGAGCTAAACTACATAGCAGAAAACTGAGCAGCAAATTATGAGGTTCGGCAAAGTGAAAACCGCATGAAGTAAAGCCCAGAAAACATCATTTCAGATAATGGCATATAGGGAAGGCTAAACAATCTATAGCTGGTAAAGGTAAAACCAAACCAATGAAAAACAGAGAAGTAGAAGAAAAATTGAGAAGTAGGGGAAGCGAAGTAATAAAATCACCACACCCACCAAAACCCTCAGCATACCAAGTAATAAAAACCCTCAACTGCAAATAAAGCCAAGTTGTGCCTCCCAACAAATAGGAAAATTATCTTTTATTGTAAGGCACATCAAGTAAATCACCACCCGAAAGGACCTAAAGTTGATGTGGGGGCAAAACACCCACCAAAACCCTCAGCATACCTTGCTTAGCAAGCCAATCTGTCAGGGAATTGCATTCCCTATAGATGAACATAGATTTACAGATAGATGTGCATACGTGTGTGTGTGTGTGTATAGTGAAGAACATAGATTTACAGATAGATGTACATACGTGTGTGAGTGCGCGTGTGTGTGTGTGTGTGTGTGTGTGTGTGTGTGTGTGTGTGTGTGTGTGTGTGTGTGTGTGTGTGTGTGTGTGTGGAGTCTAGGCATCGAAGGCATGATTTAAAGCCTAATGTTTTCTATGGCATGAACATTGATGCGTGCTAGAAAATTCACGGTGGTAGAGTAACGGACTATCGTCTTAGCCTTGTACGAAAGTTCAGCACACACACAGATGAAAGATAAAACAAACGGTGCTGACTCCAGAAGTTTTTACATGGAAAACTCGTAAGGGAAAAACCGCGAGGTCTGGCCTAGTTGTGGAAATCCACTATTGATTGTTGATTACAGAAATCCTTTATTCCATAAATGGGAATGAGCGGTGATCGATGACAGTCGGCGGTGGTCGTCGGAGGTCGGCGGTGGTCGACGGCGGTCGACGGTGATTGACGACGGAGGTCGCGGTGGTGCTGAGCTGCAGTTCTCCTCAAGGCCTCAGACTCTCTCTAGACTTCGGCTCCTTTCCATGTGAGGGGTGGGGGTCTATTTATAGTATTCTGGGTGCAATTAATGCAGGAATATCAACCATTTTGATCGGGCGGTCTAGAGAGTTTCCTCCGATCATGCCGCATTTAATGGACATTTGAGTAACTGAACGATGTCGGAATTGAGTGGTCTCGGGCTCGTTGGATTCATTTTGTTGAGCCGCTCGATTCGAGTATATAGTTGCTAGTGTCGACACCTGTTTGACCTTCCAAATGTGTCCAGAAGTCTTCCAAGGGTGGTGTAATGACTTGATCTGAGCTTGATTTGACTCAGATTGGATTAGATTTCATATTATTAGGTCTATCTCATTGAGCCGGTTAGTTTGACTATAAGTTTGCTGAAATCGGAGCTCTGGACGACTTTTTAACAAGATTTAAATGTTTCTTGCTTAAAATATTATCTTGAGATTTGTGTTATGTTTCGAGATTCGTGCTGGATGATGAAAAATTTATTGGTGATGTATCTGTTGCACCCTTAATTTTGGGCGAGACCATTTTTATCTTCCGAAAATATCAATATATGAAGTATTTATGTATAAGTATAAATATTTATTACTTAGCATAAGAATAATTTTTATCCTTATATAAATAAAAAGCTGAACCCAGCTTAGTTGGTTATTATTTTTTGCTTCATGTGGGAGAGGGAAGGTTTGAATCCCGTTTAAAACAGAATAAATAATATTTTTATAAAAAGAATTTGAAGAGATTAAGGAATTTGAAGCAATAAGGAATTTTGAAGAGGAATTTGAATTCCAAAAAAAAAGATTAATAGAATTTGACCCTTTTTTTTTAATATGAAAAGTTTTTATTTATTATTATTTATTAGCATTTAATGCTTGCACATTTTTATAGATTTTCTTATTCATGTGCATTTATTGGGCAAGACTCTTTTTGAGCCTATAAATAGGGGCCTAAAGGAGTGGGTAGAGGTGGAGTACTCAGTTGATCCGAGATTTCGCAGAAGAAGAAAATAGTCCTGAGCAGCAGTGAAGAGTTGCAGCGAAGAGTTGCGGTAAAGTGTTGGGGTGGTGCAGAGTTGCGACGAAGAGTTGCGGTGAAGAGTTGTGGCAAGGCGTTGCGACAAAGAGTTGTTGCAAAGCGTAGTAGTACGGAGTTGCGGGGAAGAGTTGCGATGAAGCGTTGCAATGCAGTGTTGCGGTGCAAAGTTGCGGCGAAGCGTTGCGGTGTAAATTTTTGGTGAAGCGTTGCGGTGTAAATTTTTGGTGAAGCGTTGCGGTGAACCATTGTGGTGAAGCGTTGCGGTGCAGAGTTACGGCAAAGCATTGCGGTTACTATCGTGGAAATGATGACAACTGGAGAACCCCATTCTGCTAAAAACCAAAGGAAAAGTCACAAACCAGAGGATGCTGTATCAATTTTGAAGGAGAGCAAATTGATCTTTTTTTGAAAGAAGTATTATTTCTCGAACAATATGGCGGTGAGATTTCTAACTTCAACTGATTGAGTGTATTCTCATACTTCTGTGTATGTCGCTATTCATGAGGCAGCCTTGAAAGCAGGCTTAAGATTTCCACCGGCACCTGAGTTTATTGATATTATGAAAGCGCTCGGGGTTTGCGTTGCTCAGTTGTCTTGTTGGGTGGTGACAACTATTATTAGGTTGACAGTTTTTTTTAGGAGTCGCAGGTTGAAGTTAACACCATAAATTTTGGCACAACTGTGTTTTTTACTGATATGCATGATCGTGTGTTGTTTAAGTATAAAGAGTTGGATTTCTGCCTAAAAAACTGGTAAGACAATGTTCCGTAAGATTTTTCTTTGCAAAAAAATAATTGGAGGCTCCGCGAGAGGCGAGGAAGGTTTTAACAATTGTCTGTCTCTCTTCAGACTACTGTAGAGGGAATATTGCAAATGCTGAGATTTAGTGACTTGAAGGAGATGTTGTTTGAGACACAATATATTTATGAATTAGTTAGTGAGGAATCATTGTTCAAGTTCAAGCTTTCTTTCCACCCCGAACGGTCAACAGCTGTAGTGTTAAAGAAATCTAAGAAGAGACATTCCGAGCTAGCCCTCGCAGAATCCTCAAAGCGGCTCCCAACAAGCAATGAATGTGAATTACAACCTCAAAAATAAAAGAAAGTTGAAACATCACGAGAGCACTTGCTAAGCCCTTCAATTATTCACATTCCTGAAAATATCTTGTCTCATGAATGTACTGGTCTCCTGGAAGCTAAGAGTTTTGTAAGTTTCTTTCATTTTCTACTACTATATAATTATATCATCTCTCTAACCGATATTTCTTTTATTCTAGGTGGATAAGATGGTAGAAATCCAACAGGGGCTGGAACTGGCATTGAGAATCTGGAACTCCGAGTTTGTTAAGAACAAAAATTTTCAAGGCGAGTACAAACGTTGGTATGAATCTGGGGTTGAAACAATTACATCTCTGGAATCACAATTGACACAGTGCAATACAACAATTGCAACCTCCCTCTCGTTGCAGCTTCAGGATCTGCAGAAACTCGTGGGGGGTTGGTGGAAGCACGAGCCAGCTTTTGTGAAAGTAATAAGAGTGTAAAAGCCCTTAAATCGATAGTGTTAGCCGAAGAAGAAGATATCCAACTTTTGAGGTCCGTAAAAAATGTTGATGTCTCAGAAGTTAAGTGTACAACGGTCGAGGACTTTAATAACTCACTTGAGTTTAAGACTATCATTCAAGACCGTATTCAAGAGGCTTGTGATCGGGTGCTTGATGTTGAGGTAAAGGAGCAGCAAAAATTGTTCATCGAGGAAGGATTCATCTAAGATTTTCTGAAGGGGAGTCGAGCATTGCAACGTCGAACTGAGATTATCATTGAGGGGCTCACTCCTAGCCAAGCTTTGAAGGATTCTTCCTCAGATTCTGACGGTGATGACATCGAGAGTGAATTGAAGAAGTTGCTCTTTAATGACGACGAGGGGGCGGAGGAGAATGTTGACATTGATTAGTGCTATACTCCAACTTTTATGCATGTAGCGTGTTTGCTTTTGTCATGTTGTATGAATGATGCATGTGAATCATCTTGTTTAATTATTTGATTCTGTTAATTATTTGCCCCTGAGAATCTTCTCTTTCTTTTTATTTTTGTTTTATGATAATGTCGAAACATATTTTTCTTTTCATTCTACACTGGATATAAGATATCTTAGAAGTTCTAATATGTGAGAAAGTTACCGTGGGGATAAATTGCCAGCGGCTTTTAACTTGGCTAGGGCTATGCATCGAAGTATTACTCAATGATGTTAATCTGTATGAGATGAGCCATGGAAGTCTACTGAGGACTTATTAACCCATCCAAGGTTTTTTGTTGGAGCTTTGCTCGCTTATGAACCTATGTGAAAGGGAATGCGCCACTGTGCACCAACTGAATGTGAAGCTCCTTATAGAATGATGTGAAGACACTTCCAGTGAATTGATTCTCATTATCAGTGATAATCTTTGCGGGAAGCCCAAAGCAACAGATGATGTTTTTCCAGAAAAACTATTTGCATTGAACTCAGTGATCTTGGCAAGAGGCTCTGCTTCTATCTATTTGGTGAAGTATTTGACAGCTAAGATGATGAATTTTCGTTGTCCAGTAGCTATCGGAAAAGGTCCCATGATATTTACCACCTATTGGGTGAAACGTCAATGACTGAGAAAAGATGTGAGTTGCACTGGTGGTGCATTCATAGAGTGCAGTTGATAATTCTTGCATTTTTGCACAAACTCTAATGCATCTTGTTTAATCCTAGGCCAATAGAAGCCTTTCCTCATTATTTAAGAGCAAGTGCACTGCCACCAAGATGCTCCCCACATATTCCAGAATGAACTTCTCGTAGAGCATAACCAGCTTCAGATGGAGGAAGATACTTGAGATATGGACCTATGAATGTCTTCTTATACAATTAATATCTTATAAGGATTAAGTTGGCAGCAATGGGCAGCAATGCGTCGGATGCGAATTGATGTAGTACCATCATCTGGCAGTGTCCCGTCTTGGTGGAAGGAGATGATGGGGTCCATCCAAGATGGCTCCCTTAGGTCATCTATAGATAGTATCACCCATGGGCCGTGGATGCTAAGAAAATTTATCTCCCTAATATACCTTCTTTTATAAAGATCTCTAGTTGCTGAAGTTGTAAGTTAGGAGAGGGCATCGGCTAGGGTGTTATGCTCCCGAAGTATGTGAATGAGCTGACATGTTTCAATTTGGGTGGGATGTGTTTTTACTAGACTGAGATACTGCACCAGTTTTGATTTATGAGCATCAAATTCTCCTTCTACTTGGGATGTGACGAGTTACGAATTAGTGTAAATAATTATGTTTTGTACTTCACAATCGATGTCAAGCTTTAATCCGACGACAAGTGCTTTGTATTCGACAATATTATTGGTGGCTTGGAATTTCAAACAAACTTTGTACTCCAAAATGTCTTTCTTTGGGGGATGAGTAGTATTCTTGCACCAGCTCCTGAGTTTCCGAATGCTCTGTCTACGTATAGTGTCCACTGAGGTAATTGTGGAAGAGAAGAGGGTGTTTCATCAGAGGTAGGCACTGCACATTCTACCACAAAGTCGACCAACACCTGTGAGTTGATGTTTGATCGTGGTAAATACTGGATGTCAATATTTTCCATTTTTATTGACCATTTAACTAATCTTCATGATGCTTCTGGTTTATGTAGGATAGCCTTAAAAGAGAGTTGCGTGTAGACGCCAATAGTGTGTGAGCCTGAAAGTAAGGACGGAGTCTCCTTGCTGAGAATACCAGGGCTAGTGCAGTCTTATCTGCCATTGGATAGCGACTTTCTGTATCCGAGAGAACTTTACTGACGTAATATACTAGTTTCTCGATTGTGTTTTCCATTCTGATAAAAACAGATCTTATTGCATGAGGTTAAATAACTAAATAAATATATAGCATCTCCCCTTGGATGAGTTTTGAGAGAAGGAGCGGTGAAGCCAGATATGCCTTAAGTTGCTGGAAAGAGATCTGACTGTCATCTATCCATTGAAAACCAGTGTTCCAAACTCCTCTAAGTATTTTGAAGAATGGCAGATACTAATTTCTAGAATGAGCTAAGAACTGGGATAGGGCGGTTATACTACCATTCAAGTTTTGCACCTCCTTGATGTTCCTTGGAGACATCATGTCCCTCAGTGCCTTGATTTTTTCTGGGTTTGCTTCAATTCCACGATGGGTAACCATGAATCCCAAAAACATCCCTAATGTGACCCCGAAAGCACATTTAGTCGGGTTAATTTGCAAGTCATACTGACGAAGGAGTTGGATTCTCCAGATGAGAAAAGTGTTGGGATGCTTCCGGACTTTTTACTAACATGACCTCCCTTGTATGCCCTAGAAGGTTTCTGAATACTTTGTTCATGAGAGATTGATAAGTTTCACCAGTATTTGTTAATTCGAATGGCATAACATGATAATAATATAAGTCCTTATCTATTTGAAAAGAGGTGGCTTCCTCGTTTACTGGGTTAATTTTTATTTGATTGTACCCTGAGTATGCATCCATAAAGCTTAACATCTGATGCCCGAAAATTGCATCAACTAGTTGATCTATGCGTGAGAGGGGAAAGCTATCCTTCGAACATGCTTTATTGAGGTATGTATAGTTGACACACATTCTCCATGAACCACTAGCTTTTTTCACCATGACGACATTGACCAGTCATGTAGGATGGTGTACTTCCTATATGAACTTTGCTTTGAGAAGCTTGTTGACTTCTTGTTTAATATCTTGTAAGCGATCTTGGGCAAAATTGCGCTTCTTCTGGTTGACCGGTTTAAAGTTTGGATCTATATTTAAAGAGTGCATGATTATTTCAGGGTCAATCACAGGCATGTCTGTTGGAGTTCATGCAAAAATATCTTGGTTCCTTTGGAGGAGATCTACATATTCTTAAATTTGTTTATCGGAGAGTAAGGAACCAAGCTGTACTATTCTCGATGGGTGTTCATTAGAGAGCAGGACATGTGTTCATTAGAGAGCAGTTCATTAGAGAGCAGGACATGAACCAAATCTTCTATAGGGGAAGCTCTTTGAGAAACATCTTCATTTGGAGATCAAAGTTTTTAATGCTAAGTGTCATTGATGGGTGCAACTGAGCTTGCCTGAGGTCGCATGATTGTGTTATCTGTTGATCTCCTTGTACTATGCCAATCCCTGTTGGGGTTAAAAATTTGAGCTTTAAGTGTAGCACATATATTACGATGCCAAAGATGGATTGCAAAAGTCTCTCAAAGATGACATTGTATGATGATTCTGACTTGACAACAATTAACTGAACTGTGTGAGTTATCTGCTGAGGAAAATCTCCCACGACAACAGAGAGATTTATTGTTCCACGACCCTTACTGGTTGATTATCAAAACCATATAATGACTCAGATGTAGGTTGAAGTCTTTCCCTTGTCAGTCCCAAACTAAGGAAAGTGGAGTAGAACATAACATCAACAGAACTCTCATTGTCAATCAGGATCCTTTTGACATTGTAGTAGGGTTCGTCAATTCCCGCGCTAATGACAAGAGGATCCTGGTGAGGTACTCAGACTCCTTCTAAATCAGAATCATCGAAGGTGATAGGTTCAAGGCGCAATCTATTATGTGTTGGTTCATCAGGTGCAGTGATAAGAACTTGATCTGTTAGAAATGGGCCTCCTGCAATTGTTTGAATTTCGCCTTTGACTGGGTGACCCTCATGTTGTTACCTTTATGTTTGTTGCCCTCAGTAGGATCATTATAGTTACCAGCTTTTTTGTTTTATATAAATCGACCAAGATATCCCTGCTGAATCAACATTTCAATTTCTTCCCTAAGGAGCTTACATACCTCAGTGGTGTGGCCACGACTTTGATGAAAATGACAGTTTTGTTCTTGATTTTTTGAGTTGGGATTGAAGGGGTGAAGCCACTTAACAGCTTGCTCATCATTGATGGCCATCAAGATGTTATCACGTGACATGTTGAGTGGTGTATTTTCTTTCTTGGGTTGATATTCAATTCGTTGGCCTGTAGGTTGACGAAGGAGGTCACGATTCTTTGGTTGTTCAGACGTTCTTCGTTATGAAGAATGATTATTGTCTCTGGAGTTACCTTTGCCCTTTCCCCCAAATTTCTCAAGTTGTTCCTTATGTCCACTGATAACCTCGTCTGCAGTGATTTGGGCCTCAACATGATGGACAAGATCGGCATAAGAACGAATTTTCTCCCTCATCAATGATGAGTAGAAGGGCCTTGGCGGAGCCCCCCAAGGAAAACCCCCCCTAAGTAACTCTGGATATACTCATGGAATTTGAGGGGCTTCAACAGAAAACCTGCAGAAGTAGTATTTGAGCGGTTCTCCTTCACTTTGACGAATTCCTGAGAGATGGGATAAATCCTTGATGATCATTCGATTTGCTATGAACTGCTCCACAAACAGTCTGGCAAGCTCATTAAAGATGTTTACAGTGCCCCCCGACAGAGAGTAGAACCAGTTTCGAGCTTGTCCCTTAAGAGTTGTTAGGAACACCTGACATAGAAGCGCATCAGAGGTACGTTGAATGTGCATGATGGTTCGATAATGATCAATATGTTCATAGGGGTCAATTATCCCTTCATATGCGTTAATGTTCGGCAACATTAATCCTCTTGGGATAGGGTGTTGGAGGACCGCATTCGCTAAGGGAGAGGATTCAAGGATGTTATGGTGAGTGTGAAAGCGGTCTTTTTTCTCTAGGGGGAACTCCTCTCGGACGAGGCGTCGTAGTTCGTTACAGATGACATCATCTGGAATGGTAGTAAGACATGGTGGTACCAGGGGATTCACATGAGATGGATGAGTGGAACCTGCGGTGTCTAGGAGTTCAGCATCACAACCTGACAAGGGAACTGTTCTTTCTTGAGCAGAGGGGCCGGTAGAAGTTCCTCCGGGTGGTATGTTTCTGGTAGGTTGAGGATTTAATGGTAA